AAATGGAGAATGGATATTGTGGGTCCATTACCACAAGCAAAAGGACAGGTAAAGTTTCTACTCGTACTCACTGATTATTTTACTAAATGGGTGAAGGCAGGAGCATTTAAACAGGTGCGAGAAAAGGAAGTCAAAGATTTTATTTGGCGGAATATCATATGTCGGTTCGGTGTACTAAAAGAGATCGTGTGTGATAATGGCCCTCAATTTTTTGGAGCTCAAATCACGGAATTCTTTCAAAGTTGGCAAATTAAAAGGATTACGTCTACACCTTATCATCTGGCGGGTAATGGACAAGCAGAATCAACAAACAAGGTTATTATCAATAATTTAAAGAAACGATTAGAGGAATCAAAAGGTAGCAGGCTTGAAGTATTACCTGGAGTTTTATGGGCATATCGCACAACTGCAAAACCAAGTACAGGAGAAACACCATTTTCATTGGTTTATGGTGCTGAGGTTTTAATTCTAGTTGAGATAGGGGAACCAAGTACACGGTTCACACAGGCGACACAAGAATCTAATGACGAGGAGATACGGGTCAATCTAGATTTACTCGAGGGGAGGAGAGAAGATGTATTAATAAGAATGGCAACACAAAAGCAAGTCATAGAACGATATTACAACCGAAAAGCACGCCTCAGATTCTTCAAAGTGGGGGACTTCATGCTTAAAAAGGTTTTTCAATCTACAAAGGCAGCTAACGCGGGTAAATTAAGTTCAACATAGGAAGGACCCTATAGAGTTCGTGATATTGCAGGAAAGGGAGCATAGGAACTGGAGACAATGGATGGCAAGATACTACCTTCACATTGGAATGTTGTTCATTTGAAGAGATACTATTTCTAAGGAATACCCACGGTCAAGTATCACCATTTTAAATTTAATTTTTGAATTGTTAAAATTTTACTAACGATTTTAGATGATAGGCACAAAGCTAACCTGAATTAAATGATGAGTCACGACCTGTAAGGCACACGAAATAACCTAAAATTCCTGGCCTAGGGTTACAATTATTCTGATAGAAATTCAAACGGGTTAAGCAGTCTTCATCTATAATCGCACCTCCGAGTCCCGTATCTTTTTCCTTTTCAGGAAAAGGACCAAATGAGAGAAACTATCAAGTGCTCGAGGCTTCATACTTCAACACTCAAACACTTGGGGGACTACATAATATATACAGACATGTGTATAAAGAAGGCAAAGAAGATTGAGGAGAAATCAAGCCAAAAAGAGTCAAAGGCAGAGTAAAAGTCACAAAGTCACGAGATGGAGCCACGAGCTAAGGCCAAAGAAAAACCTCACTATAGTTAGGGTAAAGGCTATGTACTAAAATGGGTTATAAGAAAAAAAACCCGTGTCTATTATTCTTCTTTTGTAAAAAATTGTTACAAGAAAAACAGTTATGAGAAAGTTATAGATGTAATTCAAATACATGTAAAGTATTATTCAAAACTTGTCAAAGTTATTTCAAAAAAACATGTTTGTTCCAATTCCTTTTATCGTATGATAACACCATTATAAAGTTGAGACGTCTTCTTTATTAAGTGTTGAAATATAAAAGGGCCCTCTTTTATAAAACTCATGTTTAAATTAGTTAGTTATGAGATTAACAGAAGCATTTTCGAAGAACAAAAATGCAAATTATTCTATAAGTCCTTAAAAATAAAGGCAGGAATAAAGCACACAGAAGTTTAAGTTAATAACATGAAAAACTTCTTAATACTTAAAAACTGAAGACTAAGTACGAACTTAGTCATAAAACTATGAAATTGTTTACACAAATTGCCCCATAAAAAACTTGGGGACTTGCGTTTCCAAAACCAACCCTCAAATGAAGCTAAGGGTTTGATTACAATTTTCCAAAATAAAAACAAAAACAAAATCATTCAAATGATTAAAACTGACACTTCGTGAATAGTGGAGCTATAAAAAAACCTTGAAAAGGGCTGCAAAACTGTAGAACCAATGGAAAAATGACACGTGTATGGAGCATTAAATGGAAGCGGCAATTGAAGCGTCAATTTTGTCATAGCATTAATGGTGACAAAAAATTTCTTTTAATAAAATCCACTTCCCAAATATTCAACTGATGAATAAATGGAAAGTGGGGGTGACTATCTGTATTGGGAAAAAATGTATTTAAATATAAAGGTGACGTGTCGAGACACGTAGACTGGTCAATGGTCAAAGAATTACAACTAGCCAAGAGGCACGAGTTGGAACAGATACGAGCAAATGGCAGAGGAAGAGGCACGGGCAGTTATTCAAATAACTCAGTGCCCGTACCTATCTAAGTCATTTATGTCCGAGAATCAAAAGGAATGAATCTGACAATAGAAAAGAGTGCAGATACGATATTTAATAGGCATTAAATGTGAAATACGTTAGAGAATTTGTATTGAATGTAATGATTATGTAACGTAGCATTCAATGTCTTTAATTACTCATAATAGCCTCATTATGATTTTGGCAAAACGTATATCTCCAAGATATCTATAAGAGGGAGATATCTGATCAATTGTAAAAAAAAATACTACTGGAATAAACTTTGGTTTACTTGATTACTTTCTTGCTACTTAAATTACTTCCTTTTATACATTCTTTTGATTATCAGTAACTCGTGTTCTTCTAAATTCTAGCTTTGACTAAAATTTTATTTTTTGGTTAAACAATATGTACAGTGTAATAAGCATATTTCGAACCTCCATCTATCTCTCTAGGGCTTGATTTCGACATTGATTCAGAGCTCCAAGCCACTGACAATGAAAATTTCGTTCGACAATGGAGATGAATCAGTGGAGAATCATGGTTGTATTCATGGAGAAAGACTGGTATTGAGGGAGAGAGGGTGGAGAAAAATCTGAGAGAATCAGTGAGAAAAATAAGACAAAGTTTATTTTATGGCTTAAGGGTAGGAGGTGACCATAAATAGATATTTGACTATAAAAATCAAAAGGTAGCTATGGAATATAATTTTTTAAAAGGTTATTTATTTAAAATAAATAAGATATCAACCTTTGCTCCTATCTTTTTACCGGCTATTTTTAGTTTAAGCAGTTGGGTAAGCGCCTACTTGGGTTAATTTTTCAAATATTTTGGGAGAAACACAAAAATAGTCGGTCGGTTAAAAGTAATTACATTCGTTAGCCGAAAAACATATAAAATATGTATATTATACATTTATAATACCTATATATACAAAAAAAAAATACATTTTGTATGATATTATTTTTGGGAGCATCGAAAAATATACATTTCTCAAGTATTTACCTAGAATCATCTATTCGTGATTCCACGACCTTGATCCCAAGGCTAGTTGAGGCTTAAATTGTTCTAAATTTTTCAGAACATGAGAAGAATGTTGGGTTATTCATTTTTAGACCTTGCAACTTCAAAAATATTAGTGTCTCATTTACTGCATCATATTAACTCTCTTATAATGTAAGATTTGAAGTGCTTGCTTTCAAGTGTATCACAAATGTGGTATTATTTTGTTTAAAATAACTAGTGATATTCCTACATTTATCAGATGAGCAAGTGCCATTGCAACGCAATAAAATATCAGGTTATGGTTTTAGAATAGTGTATTACGTAGTTCATTATAAAAATGATAATTTTGTGCTAAACTTATCTATTTTCAGGATTATGGTTTGTGATAATGATAATGAATGATATCTATGAAGGTACTGCATATATAAGATTAGCAAGTTTGTTTGGTATTGTTGGGTATTTTTGATAGTTTTTAGAACTTATGATACAAGTCACATTTCATGTGTTTTTAAAAAAAAAAAAATGGGGTGAAATATGTTTTGAAAAATTATGTCCAAACAGATTTTCATCGTCAACTCAAATTTCACCCAAATTAAAAAAGAAATTGAATAAATTTGGGAATCTATGACCATACGCTAGCTTAGTAAATCTTAAAATCTAAAAGAATACATAAACGTAAGATCATCAGACTAGGTGAGAAGTCATATAGGAAAGAGTAAAGCTAGTGCCACTGGACCTGATAAATGTACAGATACAAAAATATGTAAAATTAATTTGACTTTAAACTTCCTATTTTACTCTTAATAAAATAACTTATAGTCACGCAAATATTCATGGCTTGTTTTGACTACAAGTTTCAAAAGTCTTTCTTTCTTTCCTAAACTATGTGCCGAGTGAAAAACCACAACATAAATTGAAACAAATGGAGTAAACAACCTCCGGTCCTACCAAAAAACACAACCCAATTTCAATGGTAAATGATCCATTGAAAATGGTATAGACTACATTACCAAAATCTTTTCTTTACTTCGAATCAAGAATGTGCTTCTTGAAAAAACTGTTGTTGAACTTGGTGCTTCTACAAGAGCAGTTTTGGGAAGTTCATTCTGCAATATTATGTTATGCTCACCTGGATCATTTTAGGACGAGATCCACGGGTTTGTTTCCCAGGCTTTCTTGTTGAATTCGTTTAGCAGAAGCCTCAAGCTCGGGCTCACACCAACAACAACAACCCAGTGTAATTCCACAAATGGGGTCATAAGCTTCTTGAACGGAAAAAATAGATGCTTTCATGGACTACTTTGACTTTAGGGATTTGCTTCAAGTCTAATTGTCCGATCAATAATCACCCAAATGGCGTCATGTTGCCTCGCAGTCTTGCAATACAGAGACAAAGTCCATGGCTATCTCGTCCCACTTCCACAGTTCCAATGTGGTATCTGAACTGGCTATAAGGGTCATGTTGGTCTCTGGTGCTCAGCCTTAACCAGCTGGCACATTAAGCATTTAGCCATGGGGTCCGGGGAGGATAGGATATACGCAACCTTACCCCTACCCTGAAAAGGCAGAGAGACTGTTTCCTGGGAGCTCACACCATTTTATCTAAATTAGTTGTAAAGAGTGGATATCTGCAAACTCAATGGGTATCTATTCCAAATTAGTGCAGTTTTTAATCATGAGGAGGAGCTCAAGGACATGAAAATTGTCATTAGTGGCTTTCCAGTACATGAGGTCAACCATCTCAATTCGCCAAAAATATCAAACGAGTAAATCCGCCTGCAATTGGACACTATTCTTCGCCACAAGCAACAAAATATAAGAACAATTTACCTATGATGTTCACATCCACCCACCTTAGAAGAGTTTCGAACAACTTAAAGTCCAAGATTCTGAGTAAATTAACATGAAAAAGCTATTAGTTGAGAGTAAAAGTTAAAGAAAAACTATAAGAACACCGAGTGTTCTCTTTTTCTGCATCTGAATCATCGAATACAATGTCATTCATGATGAAGAAGTTTTGGCTTTCAACGGCTCTCAAACACAGCTCGAATATTAGATCATGAACCTTACATGATTTAATTTTTGTTTCATTCCTACATCTCTTGCAGTCAAGAACTACACATCGGGCGATAAGATCTTGTAAACACTTATTCAGCCTCTCCTTTCAAGTCTTTTTCCATCTTCAGAAACCCCTCAGCCATCCATAATCTCACCAATCTCTGCACTGAAATCTCATTGTCTTCCCGAAAAATTCAATAATACAGAAAGCATGGTTTTAGGTCATTGATCAAGTGATTGTAACTCAAACCCAAGCACATATAAACATTGTTCATCAGGATCATTAGTGACAAATGACTTGACATTTTCAGCAACAATTTCCCAATATTTTATTCTCCTTTCAAATTTGGATAGAAGCTCAGCAACCACAGGTCCACAACAATAGTTAGCGGTAACCCTTGACATTTGTGTACAATTTGCTTCGCAGTAGTTTCGAATTCATATGGTGTTATTTCATTTGCAAACACCACACTTTAAAAGAGGTTCCAACTCTCATTTGGATTCATGAAGCCCATCTACAAAAAAAAGATTCTATGTACTAGCATAACAAGCTACTTCATCATTACGAGCTCCAATTGGAACAAAGGTTGGGTTTGTTCTGGGAGCATTTGCCTCCTCTCGACCCTAAGGCCGTAGCAAATATGATGCAAGAGAACCATAATCACATTCCCGGTCTTAGAGATCCAGAACTATATTCGTGGTTTGTAAGAGAATTGGCACATTTGCCTCTTCTTGACCCTGAGACCATAGCAAAGATAATGCAAGAGATCTGCAACCACATTCCCAGGTCTGGAAGAGACTGGGAGCATTTGCCTCCTCTCGACCTTGAGGCCGTAGCAAATATGATGCAAGAAATCCGGAACCATATTCGCGGTTTGGAAGAGAGTGGGTGCATTTGCCTCCTCTTGACCCTGAGGCCGTAGCAAATATGATACAAGAGATCCGGAACCACATCCGTAGTCTGGAAGAGAGGAAAAAGGCCCTTCTCCAGGAATGGAGGGAACTAAGTGCGCGGGTCGTCCTCACAGCTTCGGATTCCCATAGAGAGTAGAATAGAAGAGTCCGTCGACTCTTTTTAGTTTAAGGAAAGGGTGGTCAACAATATTCGACTCCATTGTTTTGACTTGGAAAGCATTGTCTCACGTCATTCCATGCACAAACATCAAAACAAGATCGAATAGATACATTGAACACTTCTTTCCGTACTGTTGTCTTACCGATACCTCCCATCCCGACAATCCTGATGACTTTGGGTTCATCAAAGAAAACTCTAGTCAGATCGTCTAACGATTTTTCCCTTTCATCATCACGTCCCACCATGTTGTTCTTAACAAGTAGAATATGTTTTGCTGAACTTGAATCTTGAAACAAACATTTGTTTGATGTTTGTTTGCCTTTATCTTGAATCTTTGTCGACTCTTTCTGGACCCGATCAATATCCTTTGCCACTTGTTGCAAGCTAACACAAAGCCTTTCATGTGCCTTCTCTTTCTGCATTTTATCATTTATCATTGTGCATCAACAACATTCGCAGCTTCTTTTATTTGTGCTACCAAATCAATCATTTCCCCAGAATCCTTGCTTTTCTCATAAGCTCTTGAGAAATATTTGTAAGGAGCTAACTAACTTCTTCACGAAGAGCGGGAATTCTTCTCTGTAGTCACAAATTTGGATCTCAAGAAGCAACACTAGCATAAGCCATATCTACTGAATTCCCCTTTGTATGACCTGAAAGCTGCAAACTGCAAGAGGTCAATGGTGCTATAAACAACATGATTTGCGAAATTGCGAAAATGTGCTATAGAAAAGCATTAAAGTTCCACGATAAACTCTTTACATTAGGTACAATAAGTTGAAATTTAATTTGTTAGAATTCATGCCTTGTGAAGTAAAATGCACATATATTACATGTATTTTGTTTCAAAAGTGAAAGTACAAATGTTGACGTACAATTTTCAAATACTCTCGTCAAAAAGAAGAAAAAAAATACATTGACAAATCAAAACCATAACAATCTAAGAGCATTAGAAGTCTATAACAGTCTCAAATCGTGAATCCATAATTTCCCTGTTTTTACAACAGCAACATTTTTAGTCTTATCCAACACCGTGGGTCAGGGGAGGATAGTGTGTAACCTGTTTTTCCCTGTTTTTATAATAACAACATACCCAGTCTTATCTCACACCTTATCCCACACCGTGGGTCTGGGGAGGGGGCCTGAGTCCGAAACCTAAATATTGTATTTTTGGACTCAAAATACATAAATAGGTGGGGAAAAAAACTTAGCGACCAAAATATGTAAAACGCCTTAATGAACCATGTTTTACCTTAACGTCCGTTTGGGACGTTAAGGTAAAACGCATTTTAATATTGCGTTTTATATAAAACGCCTTTTAATACCGCATTTTACCCGGAAGCTAAATGGGCGTTTACTTAAAACGCGGTTCAAAAGGACGTTTTACATAAAACGCCTTGATGAACAGCATTTTACCTCTTCAAATATTGTCCCCTTCCCTTCCCCCACGCCCAAACTAGAACGAAACCCCCCAACCCAACCCACCCCCAATTTAAAAAAACGTTCCAGCGGTCCCACCCCTCCATTAACGGCCCAAAAAAACTCGAGTGGACCCCACCCGTCCAGTAAAAAATAAATAGTGTTGGTCCCACATGCTAGCTAAGGCCTTCTCTCAGTGTGGTTGCATGTTTCAGAGTCAAATTTTCAACTCTTCAACTTTCCGAAAAACATAAATCGAGGTATTCCGATTTAATTTTTGTCGAAACTCGTATAAAAAATGCATATTAGCACTCGCAAATCATGAATCCATAAATTCCCTGTTTTTATAACCCGTTAACATCTTGATATAACTTTTGTATTTATATCTTTATACATCTTCCAAAATATTGGATATATCCTAAATATAGACTTGTTCTATATAGATCTGTACTATATCTAGTGCAAAATGTGCAATTAAGGAGCTAAAGCTTTGATCAGCTACTAAAAAGTGTTCTAAGTTTAATAAATTGCAATAATTACTTTGAGAAAAGGGAATATGAATATCAAAAAACAAAGGGGTAAATTTAGCACAAAAGATACAGACTGAAACAAAGATAAAAATGGCGTACCTCTGAGTGGCTGAAATGGTGTCTGCAATCTAGCTACCAACCAAGTTTTAAGAAATGAGATGAGAATAGGGTTGCATCGAGATACGTTATTTGTTTATATTCTTACTTTAAGCTCTCGTTTGGACATTTAAAAAATAAAATAGTATTTGTTCATGAAATTTGATTAATTATTTTAAATAAAATCTTTGGCTCGCAAAATTTTATTTTTTTCAAGTAAAATATATAGTATTCATACACAACTTAAATTTCGAATTTTTTCAAGTTTCAACCAAATCTCTATCCAAATACCTGCTAAATTGTGTGTACTACGATGAAATAGTTTGATTTGATATAAACGCTCGATGGAGATAAGTATTTACTAGGTAAATGAATTAGGTTAAAATTAAGACATATAAAAACTTATTGAACTAATTAGACTTATTAGAGTTTAATTAGAGTGATTGATATGTGTCATGTGGACAAAAGGTAATCAATGGTTTGGATTTTTTCATTATTCATGATAGTTTTTTTAGCATAAATATTTCTTAAATTTCATACCATTGAAGTTTGTTTCAGACAAAACAAATTAAGTGTGTGTAGTTGTACTTTAAATTTGTTTATAATTTTAGTACAGTGGTATTCTATTCCACTGTACACGGGCAATTTCCAATAATTCATTTTTTCTTTTAATAATGTCAAAAATCAGCTTAAAGTTTCTCTAACGGCTCAAAATTAATCAAATAATGAGCTTCATTACTTACATTATAAACTTGAATAGCAGTAAAATTTATCAGAATAAAATTATATTGAATCAGTACAACAAAAAATCACATACTATGTTAGAAGGCTCGTTTTATACAACTCAACTACAATTAAGAAATACTTGGATGCATTATAAAGAAATAATAATTAAATTAGCACTCTTGTCCATTTAAAGTTTAAGTTATATAAAGTAATTAGTAAAAATATTAGTATATCATTCCTTCAATTTGTTAGAACATAATTTTTGTCTTTTTGTGTTGCGTTAAAGAGAGGATTAAGGGACAAAGAATAATGAAAAAAATCCAAACCATTGATTACCTTTCATACACGTGGCACAATATCAAGCACTCTATTGAAGATTAATGGACAAAATAGTACTGGAGGGGATCCAATCCTGTAGCATACATAGAACATTTCAAAAATGTTTTAGGTTAAATTTGGACCATTTCCTTTATTTTATTGAAGCAAATTAACGGATTTGTTACTCCTAATTAATTAGAATAGCTGAAAATTTGTGGACAATGAAATCAGAATAAAATCCAATGAATTCAGTTCGATTATCACTGAGAAGCAATGTCCATAAAACAAAACAAATTTGTAACACAAGTAGAGGAACTATTTTAACATAATACATGTTAGATATTTGGGAAAATACGTAAATACCCCATGTAATTGCACGAAAAAATCATTTACACATAATTTACGGACGACCTAATACGCCTTAGTAATTGGTATCATCTACAATATCACCTTTCACAACAGCTTGTGCTAGTAATTGGTATTACCAGAAACAGAAAGTAAATGTTAAAAAAAATACTCAGTGTACACCTAAATGCCCCCCCAAACACCAAAACACACGCACACATCAACCATAAATTATCTTCCAATCCTTACAGACTAGGACTGAACTGGCATCAACATCAGCCGCATTTATATCAGGTTACATCTCATCTTTATTATGGGAAAAAAATGCAGAAGAGTATTTATATGATGTATTTGGGATCCCAAATAAAGGGGGAAAAGCGCTGCTCGAGTAAAGATGGCAACAAGAAGCCTGATCTAAGCATTCAAGATTCTCAAAGAAATAACAAAAACATGGGTCCCGAGTATATAACACAAGTCTACATGTGAATGGGCTTGTCATAAGTGGCCATGGCTGCTTCTTTGAGTGCCTCGCTCATTGTTGGATGTGCATGGCAAGTACGAGCAATGTCCTCACTCGATGCTCCATACTGCAATGCCAGGACAGCTTCGTGAATAAGCTCCCCTGCATTAGGCGACATAATATGGACACCCAATATCTTGTCACTCTCTTTCTCAGCAAGTATCTTAACAAGTCCCTCAGCATCATCGATTGCCTTGGCCCTACTGTTTGCGAGGAAAGGAAATTTGCCAACACGATAATCAACTCCGAGTGACTTTACCTGTTCCTCAGTTTTCCCAACAGAAGCCACCTCAGGGTGAGTGTAAACGACACCAGGAACCATATCATAGTCTACATGACCTTCCTTGCCTGCAATGAACTCCACACAAGCAACACCATCTTCCTCTGCCTTGTGAGCCAACATTGGCCCAGGAATGACATCACCAATTGCATATACCCCCGGGACATTACTGGCAAAACGTTTATTCACCAAGATTCGACCAGCCTTGTCAGTTTCAACACCTATTTTGTCCAATCCAAGCCCTGAAGTGAATGGAACTCTTCCAGCAGAAACAAGGACTACATCAGCCTCAAGGATAGTTTGATCACCACCAGATGCAGGTTCAAGGGTCAACTTCACACCATCACCTGCAGTGTCAACTGACACCACCTTAGTCTTAAGCATGAATTTCATCTTTTGCTTTTCAAGAGCACGCTGGAATTGCTTGCGAACTTCACCATCCATGGTTGGAACAATATCAGCTGCAAATTCAACAACAGTCACCTCTGAGCCAAGACGGCCCCAGACAGATCCCATTTCAAGGCCTATGTAACCAGCACCTATAACAACTAGTTTTTTTGGAATTTCTCCCAAAGCTAACGCTCCAGTAGATGATACAACTCTCTTCTCATCAATGGTTATGCCAGGTAGACTTTTGACATCAGAACCAGTTGCAATAATAATATTCTTGCCTTTAACAACGGTGTTATCGCCATCAATGGTGTCGACAGAAACTTCAGAAGGGGAGAGGAGTTTACCATAGCCCTTAACATAGTTTACTTTGTTCTTCTTGAATAAACCCTCAATACCTCGTGTTAAGTTAGACACAGCTTTATCTTTTTGCGCCATCATGGCAGGAAGATCAACCTCAACAGAAGAGAACTTCACACCATGATTGGCAAATGAATGTTGTGCTTCATGAAACATGTGGGAGGAATGAAGAAGTGCCTGTCCACAGTAAGTGAGAACAATGTTAAAAAATTAGACGTAAACACGAAGTATCAGACTTCAAAAAACTGACCACTAAAGCTTCAAGCAGACTCATTGGCAAGATAATTTGTCATAAACCTTGGGCCGTGATGTCACATTAACAGCAGCAAGTACCAGCGCTTGAACTCCCATGATTATGGGTCATCAAAAGACATAGGGGAAAGACATTATTAAGTTCAGGTCATAAGACAAATATCGAATATGCACCCTATGGGTACAAGTTAATAAATCTGTCACTAGGTTATAATTATATATAATCACCAACCAAAATGTCCTCTCAGGAAAGTTAAGTCACTGCACTTGCAAAAAGGACCCACTACTACTTCACATATAAGGGCATCAATGAAAGCAATGTTGGGCACATATACACCCATCTGCTAAGTTGGAGGCACGACCATGAGAAACCACTTTTAAGTTGCACCCTTCAGTAGCCTTGGAAAAAGGCAGAAGAAGGGGGGGAAAAAAAGCTATCTGAAAATAAAAAACTAAAACTGGGACAGCGTGCCTTCTCATTTTACGGCCAATTCAAATAGAAAATATCCTGACAATGTGGAAGTTTGCAGTGAAAGCAGGAGCCCATAATTTTCTGTAAGATACATGACATCACCAAGTTGGAAATCATAACTTCAATTTCCCTTTCAGTAGTTTCCCATAACTCAATTCTCCTCCAACTGAGTTTCTAAGAGGCTCTCAGTTTCTTCCATGGTCTTTCCCACGAATTGCCTGAATCTGCTTTCCATAGGCCTAACTCAAATACTCTCTGGTGTTCCCATATCCTGGAGCTGTCTGAAGTCATAACATTTGGGGAACTAGTACTAGGTTCCTCCAAAATCAATTAGCTCGAACAGGACTTCCTGTTCTAGTAGCAGTTGCAAATCATATTTTGTCCTAGAAAGGAAATTTGTTCTAAATCAACAACAACAATGTCCTTATTGATTCGTAGCATATGACTAAGCAATATAATCAACATCTTCATAAATAATTTATAGTTTTTATCACAAAAAATGGGAAGAAATAATTTAATCACCACAGAATGGTCAGCACTTGCATAATGTTTGGTGTTTTTCCTTTAACAACAGCGTGGCAGTTCTACCGCACCTCGAACATTTCAGGGGTACCTCCTACCTTCCACCAACACAACTATGGGGTAGGCTTAGTGAGATAGGAAGAAATTACAAACAATTTTTTTGTGGTTGCTGAACTTTAAGCCTTTTCCCATGGTTTTCACCCACTTCACTGACTATTAGTCCACACCCTTGGGTGCATATTTGGTGTTTGCTTCTTTCAAAATTTCTTTTGTTAGCAGGCAGAGACAAAAGCATGTGCAAGATTTTATACAAGCGAGTTTGGTCAGAGATTGAGGCAGGGCCACCACAGAACCTACCAATAGAAGTGGCATCGGGCATGGCAAGCAGGTTTTTCTCTACGTTTACTCTAGGTCCTATGCTTTCTTAGGAGTTTTTTAGCCTTTATGTTGCGCGGAGTCCCAAAACAGCTGCCGCAGCACCCGTGTCAGATTTTCCAAAAATACACTACTTTTGGAGGATTTAACACGCTCTCATCAACATTTTTGGAGAGTCCGAGCAACATAATTTAGCTCTATTAGAGATTTTTATGCTCATGGAAAATATAGAGATCTTCTAATACTTTTTATTTTGATTTTTATTTTGTGTAATATTGGCTTGAAACGAATCTAAATGAAGAAACATGGTCACCAAGGGTTCATATAACCGACCCCAACTTTTTTCAGACATAATTGTAGTTGTTATTGTTGTGTGGCCTAAAAGTATCATCACTCTGATTTATGAGACTGCTTTTCTTAAATTATAGTTGGTTAAAACAGCGTCATTTTACGCTAGCAATTTCATTGCTCTTCCATTTCCTAGTTTGAGACAAAAAAAGTTACTGTTGGTAGAGAAGTATCACATTATCTTGACCTAGTTGAGATATACTT